CCCTCGGAATAACTACGGGGGTTGACTGATTAACTGCGTCGAGATTGAAGGATACATATCATTGTTGAGTACTAGGTAATTGTTGTATACTTCTGCTACATTAGTATATGCACAACAATTACCAATTGTCCGGAACTTGCCATTTTTGCTGTATTAATAATCTATAAGTACAGTTTTCACGGGTAGTGTATCATTGGATATCAGGAAATTGTTGATTTATTTGCTCATTGGATATGTGCCCTTTTTGATAGAGGATAATTGAAAAAAGATGCATATGAGAAGTAGAAAATTTTCTAGTGGTATTCAATACTATCTGCCAATGTTAAATTGTCATGTATATGAAATAGCTGGGTGCAATATTTAACGAGGACTCAGTAATGTACTTGTCAATTTATATATTGAGATTTTCATTTGTACCCGTCGCCTCAAACATCGGGTTACCCGATGTGAGTGAGGGGGTCGGACCCCACACATTTATTGGCGTTGGATCCCAACCCCCACGTGAGTATATATTGATAAGTCATATTGAGTTTCATTCTAGGAGTATTAGAAATTTTCTCGATTCTGTTTAGAAGTTAGTAAGCCGGGACTTATTTTCTAAGAAAATAAGTTATCTCAAAATTTAAGTTTAACAAAATAACTGACTTAAAAGTAAATAAGTAACTTTTCACGTTTGCCAAGACAATCTGTTTTCTTATATTCCACAAACTGTATCTACCTAAATCCGTAACTCAGCTTTTAAGTCATATATGTTGGGTACTATGCTTAATATTTTGGTGTCAACAATTTTTGGGACCCTAAATTACAAGAAAATAACCAATTTTTTTTTTTTTCCCAAACTTGCTTATGATACAAGAACGTAGTGCATATGTAGATGGTTCGATATTGACATTCATTCTTGGGCATTTCTGTTGCAGCTGTAAGATATGCAATTCTTTTATACTGTTTTATAAAGTGCTGAATGCACTCCGTCAACTTTTGTGCATTACATAGAAAATTTTTATGAGTGTAGCAATAACATATCATGTAACTTCTAAATCCTAGTAATTCAAAATAACTCAAACTATTGGTTTTAGCTAAATGTGCTCCAAGTGTGTACATGCAACATAATTCGATGATTGATTCAGACAATTCATCGAATCATCAAGCTATAAGTTCGTCTAGTAAGTCGAGATTAAGTAGTTTATTGTTGTATTCTAAATTTAAATAAACAGTGTTTGTTAAACAAAAAGATAATAGATATAAAAAGTTCGATAAAATATTTATAAACATCATCACATATTGGTAAACGTTCGAGCTAACTAAATACCATAGAGTTTGCTCTTTCAATATTTTTCATAAGTCAACATTGAACTTGAATAAAAGAAGATAGTTACAATAACTTAACAAGCAACCGAAAACTAAACCCATATTTAGTTTTGCTAAAAATAAAATTTTTAATACATTTTGATAAAAGTTGATGAAATGTGTTATTAAAATGTATATAAAAATTATGGATTCCATGAAATGTAAGTAATTAAAATAATTATTGATTGACTTAAATATTTATTAATTTTTTAACTAAATCAAATTGGACAAAAAACCTAAACCTAAAAATCCCGAATGAAAATGCTGCAATTTAACGTGATTCTCATGGAAATGCATGTTTTTATGCTTTTAATTGTGGTGGTCATTGACTAATTAGATGATTCACCTTTCTTTACGTGCATTAAATATTAATACAAATGCTAATTAGTGGATTCCAGGGCTATATACCAATAAATTCATAGTAGTGGCCCTTTCTTTCTTATATTTTTGTATATTATTATATTTGTGAAAAAAAAGTATACATTGTCGTTTTAATTCCAATGAAACTTTTTCTCTTGACCCTTCGATTTATAAAGCAACTCCTCGAGTTTTTACATCTTAAATCACTTGTAAATTTAGGACGTCTATAGTTTAAACAATTGTTTTTTATAGTGCATTTCTTGCACTACATGAAATCATATGATAATGTATTATTTGTCACATAATATCGATATAAAATATTAGACGGTACAAAAAGTAAAAAAGAAATCTTAATATAAATAAATTGTGCTCTACTAAGTTAATTTATGCAAATTTATTTTAAACCATCGTGGTGAATATTCAAACAGTTGTGTTATTTGCACAGACTCATTTGCACAGGCTCTGTACAGATACACACACATGGAAGTGGACCCTACACATGAGGTCCACATGTGGGGTCCATCCCCATGTGAGAGCCCTTGTACAGACTCTGTGCAAACGGGTCTGTGCAGGGAGCTTTATTCATATTCAAATTACTGCAATTAGGATTTCAGGCATGGTAGAATGAAAAATCTTGACTATTTCTTCATGCATGTTACAACTTAGGCATTGAAGTTTTCTAGAAAATCTACTGTAATTTCATTGGCATATGTTAAGCATATTGTATATTGAATGTTCTGTATAAGTGAATTGGACATAAAAAAATAAAATAAATAAATAAAAACATTTGTGGGACTTGTGGTCCAATGTCTAGTCCAATCCGGTATTCATATATATAAATAGATGGATCTTTGTAAATTCTAAAAAGTAAAATAACTATTAAAAATTTCATTTTAATATTTTTTAGATCATAGGTCCACAGCACATGATAGATTAGTTCCAAAGGCAACGCATTACATTTAAAGTTAACAACTTTTTGGTAAATTTTAAAATCTATCCATCAAATATTATTATTAGTCAATAATTCAGTTCTTACATATAAATATAAATTTTACAAGTAACATTTTACTCTCTCTCTTCTTTAATCATGGAGCGCGTGCATGTTTAGCTAAGTTTAAAAAGGTAAATAAGTATGTTTTATAATAAAAATAAGTCACCAGTTAAAATAAGTACTTTTGTTGCCTATAGGTAGAAAAAGTTAAAAAACAAAAAGCTACTTAAAAATGTAAGTTTAAGTAACTTTTCATGCTTAACGTAACCAAATCTGTTGATAGTCTATCCGATATAACTCTCTTCTTCAATTCTATATTGCGTCCTTCTTTACTGTATCGAATAATATCTTGTACTACATTTCTTTCACGAGTTTATTTAATTTAACGTAATAACCATGAACATATAGCCTCCGTATGACAAATATATAAATGGCCCGCAAAAATATGCGATAATAATGAGTAGTGATTATGAATCTACGGTTAAAATTAATATTTGATTTTGACTTAAAATAACACTGGAAATAACAACCGGATCATCCCGATATCTAGAAGTTGAAAGCCAACCCCATGTAAAAGATTGGGATCAAAGACCTACAATTCGTAACTTTTACTGAATTCGTAAATCATTTATATATTTGTATCAGAACGGCCCTTCACTCTATCGAGCAGACAGAAAACCTACTTCAACGCACCACATCACAGATGTGAGCTGGATGCATAGTAATTGGTCTCCTGCTTGAGAGCTTCGTGTTGGTACCTTCTCTTGGAAGTTGAGACTAAAGCTAAGTGAAATTTCTTTGTAATCTTCTCAGTTCCTAACTTCCAATGGAGGCTATGAGAAGCTTATAATAGTTTGATTATTATATATAATGACAATTTCTACGAAGCTTTGGTCCCAAGAGGTTGGAAAATGCAATGTCTAAATAAGTATTATAAATACTTTACCTACCTCTCTCCCTTTTCGCAGAAAACTCGTCCGAATAAGTCAATTAATTAGCTACTCCATGTCTAGTCGAAACGTGATTTTGTTCCCTTACGAAGTATCACATTATCGTCCCTCTCGAGCAGTAATCGATCTAGTTTCCCCTCATGATCACACG